GTGGAAAAAAAAAAAAAAAAAAAAAAAAAAGACAACTACCATTACCGGTAACAGCATACAGTGCACAAAGTGCTTGAAAGTCAAGAGAACGATCCTGTAGACAAAAAGTTTTGCTTCAATTATCTCTAAAATGTACACAAAAACCTTAATGTATAGAAGTCAAACACATTCAGTATGAAAATGCGACTGGCATGCTATAAACAAAATTGGAAAAGAAAGTCAAGCCTAATCTTTCTTTATAAAATCACAGTCTGCACTTGATATATAGAATTTTATTTACTTATTACGACATCAACAAACTAAACATTGTTCCCAATAAATTTAAGCTCAGCTACCTGAATCCTTTCCCTGAACTCTGTTGGGTTCATTGCTAGATCTACTAGAATCCTTAACAACAATTGGCAATGTTAATTTTGGTCTAACCCTTTCCACGTCTATGCAAAACATGTCCAATCAACTAAATCATCTTTCCCTTAATTTATTCTCATATTGATACCTTCTTCACTTGTAAGCGCATATATTCTCATTTCTTATCTTATCCATTTTGTATGAAAAAACATTTATGTTAACATCCGCATTTCTGCTACATTATCTTATGGACATTTGTTTCCTTCAAGAGCCCATCACTCATTACCAAAATACCTTAAACTTCGAGTTTTGAGGACTACATGATCTGTTATAGTAACTTCACTATCATCCTTCTGATAGGCCCCCTGTTCTAGAAGGACCCGGAATAATTGAGAACAATTTGGCAGCAACAAGATTCTGTTAACATGGCCGGCTGATGTGGAGAAATTAGTTACTGAAGGTCTATAAATATAGAAGAAGCAAGTAGGGCTGAGGAGGAAAAATATTGGTAGCAAAGTTAGGAGAGTCCTCTCGAAAGGCTATAGTCGTTTTTTTTCCAATTCTGTAATTTCCCAGTTTCATCAATCAAATACGGCAATTATTTTCTACTTTTGGATACTGTTCATAAACTGCAACTGGTATCCTATCAATTGGTATCAGAGCGATCGATTGTTGGACTAAGGGAAACTGTTTTCAGTTGAGCTTGATAAGGAGTAAGTCGGAGGAGATGGTGATGCAACAGAAAGGAGGCCAAGCCATTGAGTCAGGGTTGGATTCATGTGGCCGACTCAACACACAGATATTCTACGGGGATAATCTAGATTCGTGGTTGTTTGAGGCAGAAAGATGCATAAACATGAATCGAAACTTACCGGAGAGGGAGAAGGTTGAAGCCGCAATCGCTTGCTTCCTTGGAGAGGCTTGGGAATGGTTTCAAGAGGTACATGATCACTGTCCGATACAGACCTGGGGAGATTTAAAGCGTCGGACGATTAACAGATTCGGTTTACCTCAAAAGGGCTGGAACTGGAAGTTCCTTCCACCTCAAAAAGAAGGCACCAGCAAAGAGGACGAGGAGCTGTTGGTTTCTCCTCCGTTGGACGTTTTTGAATCTAGCTTGCTGCTGCAAAACACGTTGGAGAAGAAGACGTCGCCGCCTAACAAAAGGGAAGAAGATTATGTCAATGGGCTTACTATCACGGCAAATGAGGCCCAAACAATAGAAGGAAAAGGGCAGCAAATTAGGCCTGAAATTCTTATAAAAAGACCTGGGGACTTGATTTTGAAGTGGACCGGAATGGGTGAAGACCAAATTGAATCAATACAAGCCCAGTCCACTTACGGCCCATCTAAGATCCACATGTCCATGACATCAAATACTCATCAGTCCAGTGGGGAAGAAATCACTCCAGCAGCTGAATTACCACTTGGAGAACTTGCAGCAGAAAACGGTATCATGTCGCCAAAACCCACCCTCACTTCTATAACTCTCCCAAAATTGGACGAAGTGGAGTAATTAGCTGTATCACACACCGCCGGGAGGAGCCGGACAGGAAGGACAAGGGGGTCGCAGTCACTTCACCAGAACCCACCATTAATTTGGAAATAGCCCCAAAAATTGAAAGAATCGAAGTCAGTGAAGAGGGTCGAAAGAAGAATTCCATGGTGAAGTTCGGAAGAAAGGAGAAAGAAGTGGAAATCATTCTGGCAGAAACCTCCACCACCCGCCGTAAGGAAGATGCCAACACAAGAAATCATAAATTGGGTTTGGGGATGAATAGCGACAATGTGCTGCTGCAGCTAGGTGGAAGTGAAGTTAAAAGGCTCAAATCATATGGTTTGGGCCAAATCATGAATTTAGCCCAAATGTTTGAGGACCGAAAGGAGTCTTTAAAAAAGGCTCAGCCTAAGTCTAGCCCATATGGCACGTACGAAGTCGTCCCCCAAACCACCATGAACAATCCCCAATACCCTTGGATGGCGATGGTGCGCCGGACAGCGAAAAGGGTTTCTCCTATCAAAAGCCTTACGATTGCGGAACTACAGTTGGTATCCTATCAAGAAAATTTTGACACCGAAAATGATGAGTATGTCAGCGGTGTGGAGAAACTTTTTTTCAGTTCTGTGATGGGCGCAACTGCCCCAACGACAATGAAATTGAAGCGCGAAATGGACCAACCAGAAGTTGTGATGTTCGATGTCGGGGCTATTTTCAACTTCCCTCCTACTGCAATAGGAGTTGCAAACGGGTGTGACAGGTTATGGAGTTTTAATGGACACCATATTAGTGATATTAAGTCCAGTAAATCAATCATCCACTTTCCTCGGACCAGGAAAAAGGATTTTAACAGCACCTCTATTTGGGATATTCACAAATGAAATTGTGCAGATATATGATGAATTGAACAACTTCCACCTTGAGGACAAGGTGGATTTCGGGCGGCGGGTAATGATAGGCCCCCTGTTCTAGAAGGACCCGGAATAATTGAGAACAATTTGGCAGCAACAAGATTCTGTTAACATGGCCGGCTGATGTGGACAAATTAGTTACTGAAGGTCTATAAATATAGAAGAAGCAAGTAGGACTGAGGAGGAAAAATATTGGTAGCAAAGTTAGGAGAGTGTAGCCCTCTCGAAAGGCTATAGTCGTTTCTTTTCCAATTCTGTAATTTCCCAGTTTCATCAATCAAATA